CTTACTTTTGTATATCCAAACAAAAAAAAGTATTTCGTTATATTATCGTAATTACAAATATGAAGAAAAAATATTTAATATATTTTTCTAATCATGAACATTCAACTCATTCGTTGTAACTTGTTCAAGTATCAAAGTAATGTAATCGCAGTACATCATGTTTTTCGATCTGACGATTGTACTTGTGTTGTAAACACACGGACATAAAACACGAATAAAACCGTCGCGATATAAAATACGTTCATAGAAAGAAATAATTAAATAAATAACATATTCTTTAAACACTTAGAAATGTAAATATAATATTGTTATATATGTATATATTAATATATGTGTGTATGTTTTTTCCGTCCGTGTGTTTCTCGTGTGCACACTTCAGTAGATATATGTAAGTTAAGGAGTGATGTTACTACGGGTCGTGGGTTCGATCCCAGACACTGATTTTAATATAAAAATAATCAAAATATATATATTTAATTTTTTACTTCATAAGAAATATTTTTTTTATTATAAGTATATTAAATAGAATTATATAATATTTAATTTATTATTATACCTATACAGTTGCTTATTTATTATTATGTAAGTAATATTTTTCAATATGTCAAACTGTTTATTTATAAAAATAATTCTTTATCAATATTAAAAACATAACCCTAATTTTTACAAATACAAAAAATGAATACCTAATATATAATTTAAAACAAAATTTACAAAAATTCTCGTTAGAAATTCAAAAGTTTCTTTCATAGCTTCAACATTAAAAAATACAATTTTATTAGCTTCCTTGTAACACACAAACAAACATTAAAATCTTAATTAATTACAACGAGAAATATGATCTATCTAATTTAACTCGAAAACCATTTTAACTGGACTGTATTTTTGAGTCAGTTAATTGTTTAAACCAAGGTTTAACTAAGTAATTTTGAACCGAAAATGTTTAAACTGTAACAGTAGGGTACTTAGCGATTGTTTGTCTGTCTCATTGTAACTCATAAACTGATCAAATATATACATATATATCTTAAAAATCACAATCATATATATTTTAGAACTTCTTCCTGGCAATTTCCCAGCTTTAGCCAGGGTCTGCCTTACATGTAAATAGTTTTGTCTAATCGTTTATATGACCGGCGCCTGCCTGACATCAACCCTCTTTGGGAATGCATTAATAGGTATACATATATTAGGACATTATTATTTTATCGAATTTCACATAATTTACCTATAAATAAACTTAATAATACATCCAAATTCCAAATCATCGTCTACACAAATCTATCAATTTCATCAAAATCAGTTCAGTATTTCTTTGCCATATTCGTCTTTCAACAAGAGCATCGTGTATGTCTGCACGTTATATTAACATCGTTAGTACATCAGGAACTGTTAATTAAATACATATTTGCTCATTACTAAGAGGCAACTGAAACCTTTATTGTTTTAACAGTTCAAATTTAACTTATTTGTTACCATTAGTATGTTAAAATAATAATTATAGTAGGTATATAAAATCCCTACTAATATTATAATTGCGAAAGTAACTCTATCTGTCTGTCTGTTACGCTTTCACGTCTACACCACTGAACTGATTTTAATGAAATTTGGTACAGACATAGAGTTGATCTTGAGAAAGAACATAGGATAGTTTTTATCCAAGACTTTTGAAAGGTTCTCTTGGAAACGCGATGTAACCGAACTCCACGCGGACGAAGCTGTGGGCGGAAAGCTAGTTATATAAATTGATTATAATGTATGACACTATAGCTCAAATGTAAAAGTGGCTGAAATCATAATAAAGTCCCAGGTTCAGTAATCATTAACTTATTTTATATATGTTAAGTTTATTAATATAGTAATGTTTTCTAATATAAATATTTATTTTCTATATATAAGTTGTAAGATGATTTAACGCAGCATCCGACAGATTTATCTCCCCCGCGTCATCACTCATATCTTACAGCTTTTAAACTATAATGGAAATTAAATAGTATTTTAAGTGTTTGTTTGGTTTTGTTGATATATATATTATATTTATAAATACATATATTTTAATAGTATTGTTATAATTATTCTTTTTCTTCTACCTGGCAATATCCCAGCTATAGCCAGGGTCTGCCTTACAAGTGAATAGTTTTGGCTAATTGTTTTTATCGGCCGCCGTAGACATCAACCCTCTTTGGGAATGCATTAATCAGTGAAGTCTAAATACTCTTAGAAAGTACATATGACTCGGAAAAATCACATTGGTACTTGATTACTATATAATAGTTTTAAAAAACGCGTTACGTCTCATCTGTAGTAGTAAACTAGTAGTAAGTTTGTGTATATTAAAAAATATTGAACATTCTAGTTGTAATAATAGTTGTTGTTAAAACAGAACAAGTTTAATTGGTGTCTTCAGTCAGCTCATGATGCATGGCACCCGCTAATTGGCCGGGAATTATATGTGTCACTGAGATATACGACTATACAGGGTGTTCACGACACAGTATAGAGAAATAGACGTAGGAATATATTAGAAAAATATGTTTTAAATAGATTTTTGAATGAATAAATGACTTTTTTTTATTAAATTGAAATAAATAACAAATTATCTTCTAAATTTATATTCTATGTATATGTTATTTTATATATTTTGAACTATTTATATGAATCGTATTTTTTGAAAACATTTGATTAACACTTATATGTAGATACATTTTAGTCGAAACAACGAAAAATTTATATTTTTTTTATGATTTTAAATAAATTCAGGCAATATTAGAATCAAATGATTATAAATCTCGTGGAAATAATATACAATTAATAAATGTATTTTATATATGTATATAATATTGAATAATTTTTATAATCACAACATCCTGTATACCTATATATAAATCATCTCCGGACGTACAGACAATACTAACATATATATAGATATTATTTTCATTATTCCCTTCTACTAATTTAATGATTTTTGATTTTGCCTTTTTGACATTTTGAAACACTAGAGTCTAGACCGATTTTAATGGAATTTCTTCCAAATATAGATAGGAGTTTGGATAGAAATAAGTTGTTTTTAGTATATTTTCTTATAATTTAATATAATTATATATACAATAGTATCTTAATTTATCTAATTTCAAACAGATAGGTATTAAAGACGATAAAAATAGTGAAAAAGAAATCTCTTTTTATATAAAACATTATTTATATAAATTTTCATACATTTTTTTTCTTATTTCATATTAAATAAATTTTCTTTATAAAACATATGTTTATATATAATAGTGAATGATTTAATAAATTATTTATATTATATATAAACGGTACAATTTGATGTAATGAAAAATATATTATCTATCGCATGTCGCATGTAATGTATGTTAGCATTCAAATTAATTTAACTATTTATATATATTAAAAGATCTGTCTGTTGTATTAGTTAAAATGATTATTTTGTTATACACAAATATATTTTTTAATATTGAATCTCTTTCAAGTTTTGATTTTTGACTTAAAATACTAATTATTAGGACTAATCTTCCACTAGTTTTACTCCATCGTCAGTTAAGGTTAAAATCTCTTAATATTACATTAGGACCCATCATTAATTTTATTGGAAATCATTAGATGTTAATATAAAAAGATATGAAGACAGGTTATAAACATAGTTAGGTATATTGTATATACGATGCTAATATTTTCATATTATTTTGTGTATTTTATTATTTTAACTACTTACATACTCCCGACGTTTCGGTTACTTTTCAGCAACCGTGATTAGAAAGACGAAATGTGATTCTATCTAGAAATCTATATTCCGGCAAAAATATCTATGTATCTTTCTATATCTATCAAATCATTAGCCCAACACTGAACTTCAAGATATTTCTCAGTTTTATTATAAGTAAATATCCTATAACAAAAATATTGAAAAATAATGAGATGAAAATACGAAACGTCGTGAGTATGTAGTTTAAAGTAATAAAAAAGGGGAATTCATACGAAAATATTAGTTTTATTTAAATTAATATTCACGAAAGTCTTACATATCATTACATATAGGTATTCTCTGTATAAATCTAAATTTTAGTTTTATACTGTATTGATGTTCAAAACATAATTATATTATAAGAAATTTCGTTAGAGAATCAGTAAATAATTTCAGATGATAGTTATATTCAAGACGAAACGCTGATGAAGGAGGCATTGGAAATTTAAAAAATAATAACAAAAAGTTTTGCTTAATACCTATAAGTTGACATCACTCTACAAAATATTTTTTTCGAATTTCATTCAATAATCTACGTTAATACTGTAATGTACGAAAAATTCAATGTATTCACGGTGCGTGTGTCGGGTCCATGGTTGTAGTGAGAGGAGCTTCAACAGTGACTGGGACTTGTGACCCAGGTGTAGGTTTAAGGGACCCTATCTAACGTTAAACGATCACCTACACCGTACAAGCTCCTCTCTTCTCCTTCTTCTACTTGATAATTTCCCAGCTATAGCCAGGGTCTGCCTTACATGTGAATAGTTTTAGCTAATTGTTTTCACGACCGGCCGCCTGCCTGACATCAACCCTCTTTGGGAATATATCTATAATTCTTTATCTAAAAATCTTTGGGTATAAGTTCCTCTCTAAGCATATATATAATAAAATAAAACAAATCATTAAAACCCGATATAATTTATTGTGTGATCTAATATAACAATAATATAATATACACGAGAACTAAGTATGATAACGAAAAATATATTTTAATATTTACAATATTTACATCCTTTGCATACCTTACCATCGGTTTCCATCCACACTAAACATAGTAAATAGTTTATCACATCTAAATACTATTTACAAACTATAAACTCTACCGTGTACGTATTTGTTATAAAACACGTAGTAATATATACAAGCTAAATACTTGGTTAAAACGCATCATTCGACTAAATTAAATAATTTATTATTATAAACAGGAACTTCTTTATTAATACTAATATTGTAATATTTATGTAACGCTAATTTCTTCATCCTCGCTCTCAGTGACCGTCGCGTGGTTGTACAACCCCTGCGCCATGAGTTGCAGCGCCAGCGGGTTCCTCTGGCCCGAGGCCTTCTTGATCTTGGCCCGCTTGTTCTGGAACCAGATCTTGATCTGCGCCTCAGCCAGGCCCAGCTCCGCAGCCAGGGCCTGCCTCCTCCTCTCAGTCAGGTAGCGGTTCTCGGCGAACTCGTGCTGCACACACACACATACGACACGCATTAAACACACACACACACACACTACTCATTGTATATATGTATATATAAGAAAGACATATCAGTTACACTATTATTAATATATAGGCCGAGCGAACTGTACTCCATATTAAAGACGGTAGATAAGAAGATTTAGGATTTCTTTTTCAATAATATGTAAAGTATCCTATGTCCTTTCTATGTTCTAATCTATCTCTCCACCAATTTTCAGCCAAACCCACACTTGAGTACTGACTACTGAGGAAACTGATTTAGATAATTGTATAATATAAGAAAGAAAGTCGTCTTAGTTACACTATTTATAACTCTAGACCGGTTGTACATAATAAGTTGTTAAGTTAATAAATACAAATCAAAAATCTTCTTATCTACTGTCTTTAATGAGGAATAGAATTCGACTAATATATACATTACTAATTCTAAAACTAAAACAGACAGAGTCGCAAACAAAAACTAGTCTATATATAATACCTTTAATCTCGTCAATTGAGAAGCACTAAAAGCAGTTCTTGGTCTTTTCTCCTCAGGGCTGGCCTTCTTCTTCACGCGTCTACTCCTAGGACCTGGTAACAAATAAACATTTAAATTACTCATACAATAAAACCTCATTAATAATTAATATCACAATAAAGTTGTACCAGTGTGTTTATCGCCTCAAAACTATTATAACACGCGACTGTCAAATAAATATTATAAAATAACATGACGTTTATATTAACTGGTACTGATTGTTATCGCGAATTAATTAAACCTTTTATTTATAATTAACATTTAAAACTGAAAATATATTATATATATTATAATCGTGTAGTACCAGCTTAAATGTTTTTTTTATTCCAAGCCATGCGTGTAATACCGGCTTAATATAATTCCGTATAATCTGCGCCGCGGATCTGACCAGTTTAGCGTGCGACTGTACTCCGTAATAAATCTCTCACCCCTATCACGGCTATAAACACTTTCCCGCCTTCCTGTACACACAGATAAAGAAAATACTAACCGAATTCACGTATTTATCTTTTTTTATTACACCTATATTTTATAGACTGTGGCGTTTTAAATATTTTGCTTATATTATGATTAATTGTGAATTATTCCAAATTTGAAATGCGGCTATTTCGGAAAAGCTTTTAGATTGCAAGCAATTATAAACTTTATGTACTAAATAATAAGATTTAAATATCCATGACGTTGGAATTATTTGAATCATCTATTCGACTATTACAGTGGAACATGTATTTGATAATTTGAATTTTATTTTAAGTGAATTATATTCTGAATTCGCTTGAGCTGAAAATTTACGAATCGAGAATTTTATCCTCAATGAATACTGAGTTTTATCGCTTTAAGAATAGAACAGGAAATGGTATAAACACAAACCTTACGGCGTTTGAAAAATGGAACATCGGGATGGATTTAAAAATGCGTTTTATTGCTATGTTAATAAAGTTTATATTTGTATGTAACGATCCGAGAGCAGTTTATCACCCGATAAAAACAGCCGGTATTTTTTTTATTGGAGGTTTTTAATTAAACAAACTCGAGTTGAAATAGAGGATTTTCAGTAACGAGCGGTAATGTACTGAACGGAACAGAAAAATATTGCTACCAGAGCGTTCCTTACACACAAGCGTTTTACTAGTTTTTAATTGTTTTTTTATTGGACGTATGTAGGCAACAGTTTTGTGTTAATGTGCTTTCTTTGTGTATACAGCCGATGTCGAGAGATGTTTAATAATTAATTAGTTTTGTTTGATTAATTAGTATTTATATATTTTTTCACAGATAACAATAAATAAAGCAGATCATTATATTTAAGGGTTAAGGAGTTATGGTGTAACAAATGAACACATCCCCTATAATAAATTACGTTCTAACGACTCTGTGGAATGTTAATATATAAAGTTGTATAATTGTCCGTCTGTCGTTTTTGCGCGACCACTAACAGTCCGCGGGACATATCTGTGAGGCTATAAAATATATTATTATTCATACATATGTATCAATATTGATTTATTATACAAACGAATACCTTAGTACTAGTAAATAAGGCGTTACTTACAGTTATGCGTTAACTACACTACTCGTAGTATTCTTTGAGGAATCAATACTAGTTTTTATATGTATTTCTAACAAGAATTTGAATAAGTGAAAATTAACAATAATATTATAGTAATACGAAATAAATTAAGACATTATGTTTTGATAAAAAAATAAAGAATAAATTTATTTACAAATAACTGGATCTGAAACAGCTACTTGTTATGAATATGTTATAAAGAAATAAAAAATAATTAAGTTACTATAAATATATATATATATGTATATATACAATAAATATATTTCAAAACAAAAATCAATTAGAATGCCGCATCCATTCTCTCATTACGTATTCAGTTCGTGTAAGAAACATTAAAATAACACAATCTGAAAACGACCTTATCTAACAAAAATAAGGTAGGATTTCGCTTAAAGATATTAAAGCACCAATGATATACAAAATTGACCCCCGTTTTTTATGGATACGGTATCACTTAAAAGAATTGATTTTTTAAGGAAATTTACATAAGACCGTGGGGTGAGGTTCTGATTTTATTGTTATTCGGTATTTTGGTGTTTCAGTGGAATGGAGTTTTACATAAGTTATTTAAAAAAAAAACATAGTTCTTGAGTTAAATAAAGACAGACAAACTAACAGCGAATTTAGGAACAGAAAGTTTTTGATATATATTTAGAAAAAGGGGTCTCTTCTTAAAACATTCTTTGCAACAAAAAGCTACACCGCGGGACGGCTCTTTGTTCCCGGTATATAGTGTTGGGAAACGAGGGCTAGTGATGTATATATCGATAAATAGAAAAATATTATTATAACGCATATATTTCTAACAAAAATACATAAAAAACAAAAAAATTAATTAAATTTCGACCCTTATTATGAAATTACACTTATATTATTAATTCATAATTATTTATATTTGTAGCCAATTAATTACTAAACCGTTTGCATTAAAACTTAACGCAAACATAGATCGGATCTAGGAGAAGGACATTCCCTGCATTCCACTCGCTAACCGACATCAAAAAAAGCGGAAACTCAACAAATAAATAAACATATATTCACACATAATTATACAGTTTATAAATGGTAGTCATTAATTTTAATAGTGAATACTAGTTATTAGTAAATATTTGAAATAATATTAAAACGAGCCATATTTGGATAAATACTTTGATAATTAATTTTATACATACTAAGTTAAGTAATTAATTTATGGTTTCTTAATTTAATAGGTTTTTTGTATAGAAAATATATTTTTTTTCATCGATAATTCTCATTGTATTATAATAGCAATCCTTCACATAGATTGATGTAACTTTTCTTGAAAATAATATTATAAATATCACAGTTTAGAAATTATTAGATATTTTTTCAAGGAATTAAGATGTATATTTTTATCGAATCGATAAAATTATTATTTTATATCGATATTAATTATGTACATCACTAGACATCTTCAAAGTAATTGTAGCAGCAACATTGTTACAAGAATAAAAAAAATGACGTTTTATAAAACAGTTATCCTTATATACTGATGACGTTCGAACTGTAAGTTTGACGTTAATAGTTACTGGTTAGGAGATACGGTTTCGTCAAAGTATATGTAACTAATATAGTAGTCATTTATATAATAATTAATTAATTATATATAGAAAGGTATAAATATATTAAAATGTATGTTTGTTTATGCATGTTATTAAAACAGGATAAAGTTTTAGTCCAATTGGCAGACCCTGGCTAAAGCTGGGAAATTGCCAGGAAGAAGAATGCGTTGGTCCTTACGACAAGTTTCCATTATCGTCACTCCATACGTATCGTTAACAGTATTTCATTATTATCTTCATACATTATAGTATTAACGTGGTATTGAGTGAAACGGGAGACGACACGTGTGTAGTGTAACACTTGTAGTAAATCTTTGTGTTAAGTAAAACCAGGATTTTTGATAATATATATCATATATCAAATAATTATTAATAGTAACATTACAATAAAATTTGTACGTATGTATGTTTGTGTAAATAAGAAAGAAAATACATCTACTCGTAAATATATGAAATAATTTAAATTTTTAAAACATCTACATTCTGAATTTACCATACAAGTATGCATGTCTGTTTTTTCGTTTTTTATTTAAAACTGTTCAGCCTTCTATTATCTATATATTTGAAAAATCACATTAAAAATATTATATAAAAAGCATACTTTAAGTAAAATTATAGGTATGTGTATACCCAATATAAGTTAAAATATTTAACTATTTATGATTAACGTAATGTTATTTTAAAACTAATTTCTATTTTGATTAATAAAATATAGTTAGCAGATTCGATTCCCAGTTAACGTAGAATAATTTAATGAATTATCATATATAGGTACCTACTTTGAGATATATAAAAATAATAAGAAGTTTATTCCCTAAGAGGGTTGATGTCAGGAAGCGGCCGGTCGTAAAAACAACTAGCCAAAACTATTCTCAACATGTAAGGCAGACCCTGTCTAAAAGCTGGGAAATTGCCAGGTTGAAGAAGAAGTTAAAGGAGAAAACAATCTTCAAAATATATTTAATATATAGATATATAAAAAGAAAGCTGTCAATGTCTGTTTAAATTATTCAAATGACAAGAAAAATCAAATATTAATATATTTATAGGTGCAAAGGTATATTATAAATTAATATCTTTTAACATAGTGTTATACCTACTCTTCATGTTAATGCAGACGAAACCCCGGATATAAAATAGTGTTATTATTTAATCATATTCATTTCTTTTATAATAAAAAAGTACCTATTCAATAATAACCACCAACTGTTTGTCAATTAAACAATAAAAAAGTAACATGATTAGGATTTAGGTGATTTGTTAGTTCTTAAACTTATGACAAAACTTTCTAAATATTAAATAATTTATAATAAAAAAATCATGAGATTATCCTGTTAAACAATAAACAATAAAAGTTGTAAATTAAAACATAACACCACCCAGCGGAGGTCGGTTAAAGGAACTCAAAAACGTTGTTGAGGCCGAGATTGAGATATAATTATTCCAATGAATTATACATTATACAATATTTAAAATGTATAATTTATAAAACGACCCGTCCGACCAACTGAATGTATAATACGAATAACATCACTGTTTGTTACCGAATACATTCAAAATGAGACGACGTACACGAGATAAAAAAAAAATATCTTTATATATTAAAAATAAGGAAAATCATATTATTTAGAACATATATATATAAAATATTATTTTCTATATATTCTAGAGTCGCCTAACATTGAAATTTTTCACGTAAATCTATTATTATTTGCAATTAAAAACTAAATAAAGAAATAAAACAACATAAGTAGGTACTAACTTATGTAGAAATTAACCGACGGCGTCTAAGACGATACTGTGTTTAAATTCATAGTTTTTCATACAAAAAAACCTTATTAATTTGATTGAGTATATATAGATAATATTCATATTAAAATTTAAATACTTTTATATGTTTTATAATGAAAATTTACCTGAACTAGGTCTGTCACTGTATCTCGTACAATAGACCCAAGCTGGCCATAGTTGTGAACTTTGTGAGTTATCTGTACTGCCGCAGGAGATGGCTCCACTTGAAGTTGATGATACTATCGAACTGGCAGAATCTGGTCTTTTCTGTTCTAGAACCTTCGTATCCTTATCTTTTTCTCTCTCTCCGATGTTAGATACGGTCTGTTTCAACCCTCCAAGCGGCGGTAAGTTAAAATCTTCTTTCGTCTTAACATAATCGTAACCGTATTTGGTTATATCTTTATTTATGTCGTACGGCTTGTATAGGATGCTGTGGTTCGGTCCCAATGGTTTTGGTCCTTCTATCTTCTTGGAGTTCCTTAAAGCGTTCACACCGAATTCTGGCCGTAGTATGTTATTGATTGAGAAGGCTAGATTCCGTTTTTCATCATCTATAATAGGTTTAACGTCTGGTGTCTCCGGTCGGTAGTACTCGGGGCTGGGTGCGGGTGAGGTCGGTTGTATCTTAATGTTCCGAGGGTTGACGGTGCATGTGTACTGCGTGTGGTTGACCTGCGTGATGTCTCCGCCGCAGGTGTCCTCGTACGCCATGCTGGAGATGCTGCCGGTACGACGTCCGGAGCGCGACTGATCTCGGTCAGCTGTCACGCCCCAAGCTCCCCTTCTATTGAAGGAGGTGCCTTCATCATCCAACGAAGTCTCTCAAACTAACACCACCTATCCCTCTCTATCTTATGAAGTCTTCCTGATGTGTGAGCGAGACGCATCATCATACAATCCTCGCTTGATCCAAGTCACTTGTATGTTTTACGCCACCTCGTAATGTATCAATATGTCGGTCAGCTAAAGCCGGCACGTTCTACAAATTATACAATAATGATGTACACATAATATAACTATGTTTGTTATTAATTAGACATCTATATCTATATCTATCATCTATAATCTACATATCTAGATCATCTATTTAGTCTAGATATATGTATTGTTCTATTCTTAACTAATATTATATCTTATCTTATTTATCTTAATTATGACTAGTAATACAACCGGATTTTGCACGTTTTTTTTCATTTCCAATAAAAATTTAATTCTTTCTTTCCAGTAAATATAAATTATAATTTAGACGAGTTTAGGAGTTTCTGTGTAATTGGAAAATTAAAATACATACATACATACCTATATAACTATATAAGAAGAGGTATTGAATGAGACTAATATGTTCATTCGGTTCCGTTTACAGTTAAATAAATAAAAATAATTAATATTTTTAATAATCATTAAATATTAGTTTTTTTTTATTATTTCATTATATTATTTTTATTCAAATATTATTTATGTATAATTAAACGAAAAAGAAATAAATAAAAATGGGAATATTGATTCTTTCTATATAAAATTCTTTTATTATAATAAGTAGGTATATTTTTATCAATTTAATATTATTATTAATATATTAAATATTTCTTCTATAATCATATGTAGTTTTACATAAAAAATTTCTTCCGTCGGTAACTTTGTTTCTTATAAAGTTAGTAAAAAAAATATTATTTTATGAAAGTACGTCTCCGATGTTACAACACTTCTACATATTAACTAAAATAAGAAAATAAGTGTTTTTCTGTTATATATGAATAATTTAGAATTAATTTTACTTATACCTACATAGTTATCAAAAAAATTAAATTTTATTAATAATGATATGTTTACACGAGAAAAAACTCTAGTTATTTATTTAAATATACAAATATTTTGTTTCTTCTACTTTATTTAATGAAAATTATCCTATTTAATTTTTATTTAAAATCAGTTCATTAGTTATTGTATGTATAACAGACAGACAAACGAATAATTAACATATTATATATATATATATATATATATATATATGTTTATGTATGTAAGTAACGTGTTAAAATATTCAATAAGTAGGTACATAACTATAACATAATTTACCATATAAAGTAAGGTAACGAATTCCTATCAATAACAATATTTTAATATTAGGTAGGTATATATTGATAATTATTTTAGCCTTACTATATGATTGAAAAATGTCAGTGGTGGCTTAGTGGTTAAAGGACCGCCTCTTATACACGAGATCGCGGGTTCGATCCAGGCAAGTACCAATGTGATTTTTCCGAGTCATATGTACTTTATAGGAGTATTTAGACATCACTGACTGATGAAGGAAAACATCGTGTGGAAACCTGGACTTATATCAAATTATAAGTTTGAAATCACCAACCCTTCTTGGGTACGCGTGGTGATTAATGCTCAAACCTTCTCCATGTGAGAAGAGACTCAGCAGTGGGCTCTGATAGGCTGATGATGATGATATATTTGAAACGTTAAACGCAACATTATAATGTTAGTTTTAATATTATCTTCATATAAAATCTATCATAATCAATTCATATAAATAAATGTTTTAATATATTCAATATTAATAAACTCCATTTAATATTGTTGTATCAACATGGCGTCTCTAACAAGCTGTCACTTGTTTCCCGCCTAAACAGCTGTCAAGTGTCAGTCACGGCCGCCATTGTTGTTGATAATTGTATTGTTTACTTGTGCCATTGTTATATTTATTATGCTTACATTACATTATTTGTTTGTATTATGATATGTATGGAGATTCAAATTAAATTATGATTTTCTTTTTATAATAATAATTGAGAATAAAGAAATAATTTCGCTATATTTTTTTTTATATGGTAAGTCTTCATTCACACTGAAGTTGTGTTATATTTTGCCAATGTCGAAATTTTTATTTAATGATATTTAAATTTTATAATAAACCTTTCATTCTAAAGCAAATAAAGAGCATATGTCATGTATGTTTGTTATTTAAAAAAAATCTACATATGAAACTTGTATCGTTTTGTAAGTTGGTTAAAATAATATTAATGTCTTTAATTATATTTTATATTATATATAATATCAATAGTTCATAACAATAAGAATTCGTTTCATCTTGTAGAGTCAGAGTGGTGTTCCCTGTTCGTGTGTGGTCCGTTTATGAGTTACCGCGGAACGGATAAAGGAGAATACAGACATACACCATACATTTATGTGTATATATATATATATATATGATATACGTTTACTGTTAGTAATAATTATTTATAACGATTTAAATATTTGTCTACTTCACAATTCTAAGCTTCACGTTATTTATATTCTAATATTTATTGGGAATTCTTATAACAGTCCACTAGCGCCATCTGTGTATTCGGTTTAATAGTGTATATTAATGTTTATAATATTTCTATACAGTAATTTAGATGTCCAAATACTTAACAATTGATTTTATAATTTATAATTAGAGCCTTAGCATGTTTTACACAATGTTAAGTGTTTTATGATTTAATTTGAACTATTTTGATAGTTAACTAGCGCCTTCTGTATTATATTAGGTATAACCTACCCTCACCTAAATATGTTACCTTTGAATATTATGAATAGAATACAAGCGTTATATTTGTATCACGACAATATTATATAACAATAATTGAGTTTAATATGTATTTATTTGTATAATTTAAAATAAAATAAGCATTTCAATGATTGAAAAATCAATAAAAGTTCAATCAAAATCGTTATAATCAATCACAAAGATATAATAATATATATTACGTCTTGTATGTGTGCACTCCACTTTATAGCAGTCGTAAACACTAAATATAGTTCTGTACCGCGGCTCCGCACGTTAATTTGTCTCGTTAGCTGTAACTACACCTTATGTATGTACATATATATAATAATTATAATACAATTAACAAAATCATTCTCCATAAAATAAATAATTGTTTAACGATTGAGTCGTAAATCGTAATATTATGTTGTGTGAGGAAAATACTGTGACCATAATATGAAATGAAATTACTACGGGTTTTTATTTAAACGTGAAACTGTCAGTTTGATGGTGAAGGTATAATAGAGGTATGTATTAAAAATAAGTCGAATTCTTTCGTATCCCAACTAATATTATAAATGCGAAAGTAACTCTGTCTGTAACGCTTTCACGCCTAAACCACTGAACTGATTTTAATGAAATTTAGTACAGAGATAGAGATGACCTTGAGAAGGAACATAGGATAGTTTTTATCCCAGACTTTTGAAAGGTTCTCTTGAAAACGCGATATAACCGAACTCCACGCGGGCGAAGCTGCGGGAGGAAAGCTAGTTGATAATTTTATATAATTTTTATGTTCTAATGAAGTTAAATTTAATAAACACCTTGTTTATTATTTAATAAAAGTTTATACAGAGATAAGATAAAAATTATTAGAAATAGTTTAAATTAAGAAAATTTATTTTCTTTTAGTACAAGAGTTATAATTTAGTTTTTCAAAACACATTAATTATTGTGTCTTTGAAACTTTGAGAAATATTTTTTTTATACATTTCTTTATTGCAAAATAGACATACTTAAATAAAAACTTTTATATATAAAAGTAAGTCGTGTTGGTTACACTATTTATAACTCTATCGGCTGTACGGGTTTGAATGAAGTATGGTGGAGAGATAGATTAGAACATAGAAAGGACATGGGATACTTTACATACGATTGAAAAGAAATAATAATCAAAAAATAGTTGATTATATTTATTTCATATAATCATCTCGTCTTTATGGTCACAGTTGCTGAAAACTGAAAACTAGCCGAAACGTCGCGAGTATAGGTATAGTTTTTTATCAAATAAACCACGCGTAGTATAATCCGAAAAATATTGGTTTCATTTAAACGAATAAAACTCGATCTCTTTCATACAATATATATTTAATTTAATTATAATTAATCCCACATTATATTTTCTTCATGTTGATCGTAGTCTGTACCTCACTCATCACACTGTACTGACTCACTGATGACATGTTATAGTCACTGAATAATACGACACTGTTACTGTGGGTATAATATATTATATAATATATATATATATATATACTATATATTATATGTACATTATATGATATGTATATATATGTATTAGAATATTTGAATTTGAGAAAATATATGAAAGAAAACTTCGCGTTATTTGAAGGTACATAGTGGATATATAATATTAAGTCAGTGGTGGCCTAGTGGTTAAAGGGTCCGCCTCTCGTTGCCGAGGGCGCGGGTTCAAACCTGGCAAGTACCAATGTGATTTTTCGAAGTCATATGTACTTTCTGAGATTATTTAGACATCACTGACATACGGTGAAGGAAAACATCGTGGGTAAACCTGGACTTATAGTTTCACAATTATAAGTTTGAAATCACCAACCCGTCTTGAGCAAGCGTGGTGATTAATGCTCAAACCTTCTCCATGTGAGAAAGAGGCCTTGCTCAGCAGTGGGCGCTGATAGGCTGATGACGATATAATATTACCTATGTGGTTTTTTTTTAATATTCTTTACTTATAAATATAGGTGTATAATATATAATAATAGGTATATGTGTGTTTGTATGTCTTCTTCAAATTATAACTTGTGTATCTTTAAGACTAGTTGACAGTCTTTCACTGAGATAGTACGTTTCTTATTTGTAATTATAATTTTAATTTTTCATCTTCCAAATATCGCAATGACAGTCAAGAAGTATATAGACAAAATAGAAATAAATAATTTATTAATTTCCACTAACAAATTTATTGTACGGAGTTTAAATCATCAAAATATGTATTTATGAATTATCTTTC